TTGAGCTTCTTGTAAAACGTTATTGAGAGTGAGAGTTCAGTTTATAGGTTCAGTATGTACTGTAATAAAACATTTCCTGTCTGTCCTACTTTATACAACCTTGTTTTTGCTTGTCATACTGCTGTTGATGCCTTTTAAGACCAATCAGTGATGACCTGTTAATATCAGTCAGTGATGACCTGTTAAGATCAGTCAGTGATGACCTGTTAAGATCAGTCAGTGATGACCTGTTAAGATCAGTCAGTGATGACCTGTTAAGACCAGTCAGTTAAGACCACTTCGTGATGAACTGTTAACACCAGTCAGTGATGACATGTTAAGATCAGTCAGTTAAGACCACTCTGTGATGAACTGTTAACTAACACCAGTCAGTGATGACATGCTAAGACCAGACAGTGATGACCTGTTAACGAACACCAGTCAGGGACCGTGCTCCCACCCATCCAGGACATCTACTCGACACGGTGCCTGTGAAAGGCCCGCAGCATCATCAAGTACCCCACACAACCCAGCCACGAGTTTCTTTCTACAAGCCATCAGACTGCTGAACACTGACCACCTGCACTGACTGTCGGCACCTTAGCACACATGCACTCACTCACACCCACACAGATATAATCACACTCATACACACACACACTACACACACATCACAACTGCTGCTATCAGACTCCTATTATTATTACTAAATACTGCACAATTTAAACACTTGCCTCCCCAATCCCCCCTTCCCCAAAACATCTCTAAATATCGGATTATAAATTGTGCCTTCCTGTATTATACTTATGCAAAAATGTTTATTCTATTCTACTGAGCCATTTACTTTGTTCGTATTCTTATCTTTATTTCTTATTGTTGTTGCATCGTTGAGAAGGAACCTGCAAGTAAGTATTTTGTTGAACGGTGTATACCATGTGTACCCTGTACACAGTCTCTCCATTTAATAGGGCAAAGTGCAGCAAGCTGACTAATGAATAATGAGAATATAAAGGGGAAGTGTTACGAAACCAATAACTAGCCTACTGATTTTGCTGCACTCATGTCTAGGGGTCTTAGGCCTAGCTACATGGTCTGTAACCTGACTCATTATGACTAGGGGTCTTAGGCCTATCTACATGGTCTGTAACCTGACTCATTATGACTAGGGGTCTTAGGCCTATCTACATGGTCTGTAACCTGATTCATTATGACTAGGGGTCTTAGTCCTAGCTACATGGTCTGTAACCTGACTCATTATGACTAGGGGTTTTAGTCCTAGCTACATGGTCTGTAACCTGCCTCATTATGACTAGGGGTCTTAGGCCTAGCTACATGGTCTGTAACCTGACTCATTATGACTAGGGGTCTTAGGCCTAGCTACATGGTCTGGAACCTGACTCATTATGACTAGGGTCTTAGGCCTAGCTACATGGTCTGTAACCTGATTCATTATGACTAGGGGTCTTAGGCCTATCTACATGGTCTGTAACCTGACTCATTATGACAAGGGGTCTTAGGCCTAGCTACATGGTCTTTAACCTGACTCATTATGACTAGGGGTCTTAGGCCTAGCTACATGGTCTGTAACCTGACTCATTATGACTAGGGGTCTTAGGCCTAGCTACATGGTCTATAACATGATTGGATGTGTGTGTAAATGTGAGAAGTAAGCGTATTGGACCGTGTGTTGAATGCATGTGCCCAGCAGACAGCCACCTTACTACCTTAGGTCCAGGGCCAGCTCAGACATGACTCCCATGGTCGGCCAGTCCAAGCAGATTAGTATTTGTTCAAAGTGGTAACCCAAAAACAAATATATACCCCCCAAAAATAAAATACAAAGAGGCATGCCTCAACTAAAGAGGTTAACTAACACAAAACAACTCCAAATACTGGCAGGCCGAGAGGCCTCTAGTCGTAGATTGCCAATCAATCCTGATCACCCCCACCTGTTGTGCTATCAATGCTTCCTGGAAGAGCACAGCCCTTGACCCAGTTGGTGCTGCCACATGGGGATGGAGTGTGGAAGTGTATCCTGGAAGTGTGTTGCCTAACTGTGTGCTAACACTAAACTACCCCCCATATCATAATAGGATAAATTCTCTAAAACATCCCAAGAAGTAAGAACAGGAGCATGGGACTTCCCCCCCGCAGGAGTTTTCATTCACCAAATGACCTTTTCCTGCTCAGCTCACTTATGGTGAGGAAAACCTCCTGGCCCTATGCAAACTGCAATAAAACATGTTTCAACAAAGCCTTCTTCCATAACAAAATAGAAATAGCATAGGCCACTGGGGCGGCGGGTAGCTTAGTGGTTAAGAGGGTTGTGCCAGTAACCGAAAGGTCGCTGGTTCCGAGCCGACTAGGTGAAAAATCTGTCGATGTGCCCTTGAGCAAGGCACTTAACCCTAATTGCTCCTGTAAGTCGCTCTGGATAAGAGCGTCTGCTAAATGACTAAAATGTAAATGTAAAAATGCATCTAGCAAGGAAACTTTTATTTGTCTGTAAATATATTACACCGGTCATAAATTCTTATGGGGATCGACACAATAGGATTTTTCTCAGTGGTGGTGTGATTGGTGCCATATCATCAGACTCAATGACATGGGACTTTGCCTCTGGGCCAGTCCTGCCCTCAGAGGGTCACACTCACCTGTAAATAGGTTATAAGTGAGAGACTGACCGTAACAACGCTTAGCAGCCCGGATTTACATGTTTGTCTGTGTTGTGTCTCAGTGAAAACAACCTCACGTCTCAAACACACATCAACGACTGAAGTAAGTGACTTATCATTTAGTAACAGAAATTAGATAAGGTTTGACTTTTTTATATATGCAGGGTTCTGTCCAAGTGATTTTTGGTTTCTTCTTACTGGGCTTGTTGTGGTGAATTTTATGTGGAAACATTTTGGAATGCTGTGTGTGTGGCAGGCACGGTTGTATTTGTCTAAAGAGGATATTTTCTTGTCTTTCAACCGCACATCCAATTACTGTAAAAATGTGTGTCAGTGGAGCATTTGTTACAGATTAATCGAAACATACCAGAAACATTATTCATACGCTAGTTCAATTAAAAGTTAATATGTTCTTTATACTCAGCTTATTATTCAGCAAAAGTCTGTTTCAATTTAAGTTGTAGTTTCTGAATCAGTACTTTTGATAGTGGGACCCAAACGGAGCAAGTAAGTTGGTAACACTTTATTTGGATAGTCCATCTGTAGATACTGTACAGACTATCAGTAACATTTCAACTAACTATCTACTAACCATAACCCTAGCTCTAACCCTAACTTTAACCCTTACCCTAGCCCTAACCTTAACCCTTACCCTTATTCTAAACGTAATCCTAACCGTAACCTTAGCAAGCAGTTGCTTATCAACAGAGTTTGTTGAAAGTATGACCATCTATCAAGCATCTACAGATGGAAAATCCGGAATATCCAAATAAAGTGTGACCGTAAGTTTTTTTTTAAAATAGGCTATTGGAACCTGAAGATCTTTCCAAAGGTGTTATTTCTTGTAAATGAATACACAGTTGGCCTCCCGAGTGGTGCAGCGGTCTAAGGCACTACATCGCAGTGCAAGAGGCTAATGAAACAAATACGAACATTTAGTTTTTTCCTTTCCTTTCAGCAAACCAGACCATTTTTTCAATTTATTTATTTATGGATAGCCGGGGGTACACTCCAACACAAACGAAGCATGTGTATTTAGTGAGTCCGCCAGATCAGAGGCAGTAGGGATGACCAGGGATGTTCTCTTGATAAGTGCGTGAATTGGACCATTTTCCTGTCTTGCTAAGCATTCAATTTTGGGTGTCAGGGAAAATGTATGTAGTAAAAAATACATTATTTTCTTTAGGAATGTAGTGAAGTAAAAGTAAAAGTAGTCAAAAATATAAATAATAAAGTGCAGATACCCCAAAAAATACTTAAGTACTTTACACCACTGCCAGCGATAACCAGAGATAAGCATAAGTGTTCAGACTCAATAAAGCCATACATCCGTTAGATGAAACACTTTTTAAAATGTATTTTATTACATACGTTTAAAGGTAGACTTCGCTCTCACACGGTCATACACAGTATCTGCACATGTGCAGGGGTTCGCTTCACGCTGTTCACTGGGTGGTAGCCATGGGACCAAAACAGCGTAGAGGTTGAGCCTCACGCTTCAACGCTCTTAGTTGTTGCGGAAATTTACCCAATAAGCTGTTTACTTTCTGCATCTACGTCATATCGATGAGTCTACCTATAAAAGACTGCATTGTAACTGTAATGCAATTAAAGGACATGAAGCATGATCAAACAACTACAATTAGAATATCAACATTTTCTTAAATATTTAGAGGTCAAACTTTTGCATGCTTTTATTCAATAATCAGAACTAAATTACTTAAAGGGATAGTTCAGCCAAATTACATATTGGTTTCCTTACCCTGTAAGCCGGGGTGTCAAACTCATTCCATGGAGGGTGTCTGCTGGTTTGAGTTTTTTCCTTTCAATATGGACAAGGTATGACAGCAATCAATGCTTTGGTTTTGTTTACCTGGCCACTGTTTACAAATGCTAACTTCTTAGCTTTTGTGGCACAAATCCAATGCAAGTCAATAGTCCTGATATTAGCATTTTCTGCGCTTCATGTCCAAATCATCAATAAGTAACTTAATTGAGCTACACAATCAGTTTTCGATACTTTAGGATGATTTCTGGGTAAGGAAACCAGTATATCATTTTGTAATTTAGGTGAAATATCCCTTAAAATATTTAATGAAATGCATTAATGGGAGTTTGTTTGTTTGAGATTTTTTGTGCTATCAAGAAAAACAAAAAGACTGCAATAAAAGGTATAAATAAAAGGTATAAATAAAAGGGTATACTATTATTGGAGAACATAATGCCTTTGAGGTTAAAGGGATACTGAGAGATTCTGGCAAGTAAGCCGTATTTCTACTTACCCAGAGTCAGATGAACTTGTGGATACCATTGTTATGTCTCTGCTCTGCACGCAGAGACGTAACAATGGTATCCACGAGTTCATCTGACCCTGGGTACGTAGAAAAACAACCTAATTGCCAGAATCTACCTGTATCCCTTTAAAGATTGACTTTATGGAAATATTTAGAGGAGAATGCTATTAGTGGTAGATGCAGGATAATAATTTATCTTCATAAAGGCAAAATAGCTTAATGACTTCACAGAGCTCAGGGTTATAGTTAATGACCCAATACAATTGTTCTCAATACAGGGACAGAGGAGTTGGATATACTGTAGACTGACAGTGTTTAAGAATTCAGTCGCTTATGAATTGGCACCTTTATTGTGATATAATGGCACCTGTTAGCTGACTAATCAGTAATATAGTCATCAGGTTAGCTCAATCATTTAAAGTATGATGAACACACTGTAGGTGTGAAGAAAATAAGAAGTGTTGAGTATTTAACGAAAGGCAGAGTTAGCTGTTTTGAAGCTGTAGCTTGTAAGTAAAACAAAAAGTGGTATGTAAAAACAAAAAAAGCTACAACGTAAATATTCAAATGATACTTGACACAGAAACACAGGTTTTTGTGAACTTCTCAGTTCAGTGTGTCATCCACCTCAATTAATCTTCATTTGAGCAGTGTTTTAAATAGACATGCACATTGTCCCCTGTTTTCCATTACCTGTCTAAATGAGGTCCTTTCCTGGTAAGAAGAAAGAATGATCTCTTTCACAGCCTAAATCCTAGTTTAATATTTATACATGTGTTCTGATAATGCCCAGATATAGATCAAAGAGTGAAAGGATCAATACTTGGACTAGGTGAGGAATATATGGCCTATTTCCTTGGTTACTGTTGATCAGTGAGGTATAATATAATCAGCACTAGGTCAGTAAGATGGCATGGTGGAACTCTACCAGGAAAGGTTGTATAAGGCTTTTTTTTACTAGAAAACTCTCTTCAATGTTTACATGGAGAGTTGCTAGATCAAGTTTGAGGGCACAATGAAAAAGGCTCCAGTTTTTCGAAGAAGGCCGTCTAGAGAAACCTGCAATGAAGGAAAGTACAACTCAAAGGACGTTCAACTTTTGTTGCCAATGGGAATAGGCAATGCATGTGTTATGGTTGTATAGCATGTTAGGACAAATGAATCAAACTTTATGGACGACTAGTGAAGCACACACAAAGGAAAACCCAGAAGGTTCTCTCCTCTTGGCTGTCACGGTTACAGTAATCACATTGCACATGTGTTTTCACAAAGGCATGCTAATTTCTCAACATCTGATTTTGCCTTTCATTTTGACTAATCCTGTCTTCATTACCGTAAATTGATGGAAAGTATTTCTAATAATTAATGAATGTGAATATAATTTGGACCATCATCAAATCAAATCAAATGTATTGGTCACATACACATGGTTAGCAGATGTTATTGCGACTGTAGTGAAATGCTTGTGCTTCTAGTTCCGACAGTACAGCAATGTCTAGCAAGTAATATCTAACAGTTCCACAACAAATACCTAATACACACAAATCTAAGTAAAGAAATGGAATAAGAATTTATAAATATATGGATGAGCAATGTCATTGTCAGAGCGGCATAGGCTAAGATGCAATAGATAGTATAGAATACAGTATATACATATGAGATGGGTAATGCAAGATATGTAAACATTATTAAGTTGTGGTCCTCCCCATCTGTGATAGCATAGCTTTTTACTGTAACTGGGTTTTTTTCAGCTGTGTTCCCTCTAGCAAATCACAGTTCTCGTAAATAATCAGCCAACAAGATAATAATGTGTTTTCACAGCATGGGCCTGACATTGTCACGGTCATTCAGGTGCTGATGGCCTCAGGCAAGGTGTGACCTAGCCTGTTTACTCAAACATGGAGGGTTCTCTTCAACACAGAGGAACCTGATGACGTTAAGCTGGCTTGTAATAGAGATGGTCGCTCACCAATAAAATCCTTTCCTAACCTAAACCCTTGTAAAAAGAGGCTAAACTAGATCTAATTAAAATGGTTTACTTTACGTGCACTTCTGCCTATAGGACTATGTATCTTTTTTCTTTTACTAGACACACTAACCTCACAAATATATATTTTTCAGGGGGAGGAACGGCACAGCAGCCCTTGTCAAAATAAGTCCAGGCATTGACCAGCAGCAGTGTATCATCGATACCCACCACCTCACGACACACACCATGGGCAGAGGAAATCTCGGCCGGGGGGAGGGGAAGAAGAGGCTCAGCTACATGCTGAAGGACGGTAGCTGCCCCGTGGTGTTCCACCAGTCCCCGGGCCAGTGGAGCTTCTTCCTGGCCGACATCTTCACCACGCTAGTGGAGCTCCGCTGGAGGGTCATGCTCCTCATCTTCTGCCTCTCCTACATCCTCTCCTGGCTCTTCTTTGGCCTCCTCTACTTCCTGATTGCCTACGTCCACAAAGACCTGGAGGACCACGACACAGCACCGTGTGTGGCGAACGTCCGCAGTTTCACCTCCGCCTTCCTCTACTCCATGTCGACCCAGGCGACTATCGGATACGGCTTCCGGGTGATGACGGAGAACTGCATGGTGGCCATCGTGGTGGTGACAATCCAATCCCTGATGAGCTGCTTCATCGACACAGTCGTCATCGGCATCACCGTGGCCAAAATGGCGTGCGCGAGCAAGAGGGCACAGACGGTGGGCTTCAGCAGCTGCGCCGTGGTCAACGTGCGCGATGGTGCCCTGTGCCTTGTGTGGCGCATCGCCGACTTCCGCAGGAACCACATCCTGGACGGTACCGCCCGGGCACAGCTGGTCCGCCCCACGAAACACCCCTCTGGGATGATCTCTGTGACCTACCAGGACCTAGACATCCAGAGTAGACACCTCATCCTGGCCACCCCGGCCAGCATTGTTCACAAGCTGGAGCCTGGGAGCCCCCTCTACAGCCTGGGACCAGACAGCCTGAGGGAGGAGGACTTTGACCTGGTGGTCTCCTTCACCTACACTGGGGACTCCACAGGCATCCTGCACCAGACACGTACCTCTTACACACCAGCGGACATCCGCTGGGGCCAGCGCTTCAGGACATGGTACAGGTGGGGAGGAAGCACTACAAGGTAGACTATGCCCTGTTCCATCAGACCACCTGGGTGCAGACGCCCATGGTCAGCGCCCAGGAGGGTGACAGGGGGAGACCGCCAACCACAGAGTCTATCGTCCAATCGCAGAAGCCGTTTGTGAGATTGAGCAGGAAATTCCAGAGGTCCTTGGCTGATGTCAGTGAGGAGGTGGTTCAGGAGGCGTGGCTCTGATGACGCTGTGATAATCCCCAAACAACAGAGACAGATAACTACATTGGGTAGAACAAGTATTTGATACACTGACGATTTTGCAGGTTTTCCTACTTACAAAGCATGTAGAGGTTTGTAATTTTTATCATAGGTACACTTCAACTGTGAGAGACAGAATCTAAAACAAAAATCCAGAAAATCACATTGTATGATTTTTAAGTAATTAATTTCCATTTTATTGCATGACATAAGTATTTGATCACCTACCAACCAGTAAGAATTCCAGCTCTCACAGACCTGTTAGTTTTTCTTTAAGAAGCCCTCCTGTTCTCCACTCATTACCTGTATTAACTGCACCTGTTTGAACTCGTTACCTGTATAAAAGATACCTGTCCACACACTCAATCAAACAGACTCCAACCTCTCCACAATGGCCAAGACCAGAGAGCTGTGTAAGGACATCAGGGATAAAATTGTAGACCTGCACAAGGCTGGGATGGGCTACAGGACAATAGGCAAGCAGCTTGGTGAGAAGGCAACAACTGTTGGCGCAATTATTAGAAAATGGAAGAAGTTCAAGATGACGGTCAATCACCCTCGGTCTGGGGCTCCATGCAAGATCTCACCTCATGGGGCATCAATGATCATGAGGAAGGTGAGGGATCAGCCCAGAACTACACGGCAGGACCTGGTCAATGACCTGAAGAGAGCTGGGACCACAGTCTCAAAGAAAACCATTAGTAACACACTACGCCATCATGGATTAAAATCCTGCAGCGCACGCAAGGTCCCCCTGCTCAAGCCAGCGCATGTCCAGGCCCGTCTGAAGTTTGCCAATGACCATCTGGATGATCCAGAGGAGGAATGGGAGAAGGTCATGTGGTCTGATGAGACAAAAATAAAGCTTTTTGGTCTAAACTCCACTCGCCGTGTTTGGAGGAAGAAGAAGGATGAGTACAACCCCAAGAACACCATCCCAACCGTGAAGCATGGAGGTGGAAACATCATTCTTTGGGGATAATTTTCTGCAAAGGGGACAGGACGACTGCACCGTATTGAGGGGAGGATGGATGGGGCCATGTATCACGAGATCTTGGCCAACAACCTCCTTCCCTCAGTAAGAACATTGAAGATGGGTCGTGGCTGGGTCTTCCAGTATGACAACGACCCGAAACACACAGCCAGGGCAACTAAGAAGTGTCTCCGTAAGAAGCATCTCAAGGTCCAGGAGTGGCCTAGCCAGTCTCCAGACCTGAACCCAATAGAAAATCTTTGGAGGGAGCTGAAAGTCCGTATTGCCCAGCAACAGCCCCGAAACCCGGAGGATCTGGAGAAGGTCTGTATTGAGGAGTGGGCCAAAATCCCTGCTGCAGTGTGTGCAAACCTGGTCAAGACCTACAGGAAACGTATGATCCCTGTAATTGCAAACAAAGGTTTCTGTACCAAATATTAAGTTCTGCTTTTCTGATGTATCAAATACTTATGTCATGCAATAAAATGCAAATTCATTACTTAAAAATCATACAATGTGATTTTCTGGATTTTTGTTTTAGATTCCGTCTCTCACAGTTGAAGTGTACCTATGATAAAAAATTACAGACCTCTACATGCTTTGTAAGTAGGAAAACCTGCAAAATCGGCAGTGTATCAAATACTCGTTCTCCCCACTGTACATTATCGTATTATTACATTATCATTATGTAGTTCATTATCGCACAGGACTTGAGTAAAGGACTTGAGTGAGTGTAATAGGGTAGTTTCATTGTAAATAACTATTTTATATCATATTTTATACTCCTTTGTTCTTTCCTTTATGAATGTAATAATTTAACTAAATGTTATTTTCTATCAGTTAAATAAACAAAGTGTACGTTGAAGTCATATCTGACGTCCGAGGTCTGGCCTCATTTGAACGTCTTTGTTGTGATGGACAGACTGTGCACCAAATGAAATTAAACATACTTTTTTTCTGATCTGATGGTCGTAAAGTTTTATTCAAACACAAAAATACCTTCATGTTTCTTTAGTGGAAAGTCAAGAAGATTATTGTTCATTCTAGTGAATAGTCATATGCAATATGTTTACAATGCATTTCTAATCCATGTGTTTAATTCAACCTGCTACACATTCTACACAGAGCTGTTAGTTATCACTGACTACTGCGCCAGTACCTCTATATCACCACCTTGTGTTCAGGGTGTGTGTCTGTGTGTGTCTGTGTGTACAGTTGAAGTCGAAAGTTTACATACACTTAGGTTGGAGTCATTAAAACTAGTTTTTCATCCACTCCACAAATTTCTTGTTAACAAACTATCGTTTTGGCAAGTCGGTTAGGACATCTACTTTGTGCATGACACAAGTAATTTTTCCAACAATTGTTTACAGACAGATTATTTAATTTATTGTATCACAATTCCAGTGGGTCAGAAGTTTACATACACTAAGTTGACTGTGCCTTTAAACAGCTTGGAAAATTCCAGAAAATGATGTCATGGCTTTAGAAGCTTCTGATAGGCTAATTGACATCATGAGTCAAAAAATGAAGACTGTCCCTGAAACAAAGACAGTTCTGCCAAGTTGTTCTGCGGGAGTTAGTCGAGGGAGGACCCGCTCTCTCGCTTCCCCAGATGTTTAGTTAATTTCATTCTCTTTTGCATTATTGTAGCCTTTTCTGTAGCCTGTCAACTATGTGTCTGTCTATCCCTGTTCTCTCCTCTCTGCACAGGCCATACAAACGCTTCACACCGCGTGGCTGCTACCACTCTAATCTGGTGGTCCCTGCGCGCACGACCCACATGGAGTTCCATTTAGCAGCCAACAAGGCAGAGTTCATCTCAGCCTATGCTACCCTCCAGTCTCTCGACTTCTTGGCTCTGATGGAAACATGGATTACCACAGAAAACACTGCTACTCCTTCTGCTCTTTCCTCGTCTGATCATGTGTTCTCGCATACCCGAGAGCATCTGGTCAGCGCAGCGGTGGCACAGGAATCCTCATCTCTCCCAAGCGGACCTTCTCCCTTCCCTTTCACCTCCTCATCAATTTCCATCCTTGACCGCTGGCTTTCCCTTCCGTCTTCAAGAGGGCGAGAGTTGCACCCCTCCTCAAAAAAACTACACTCGATCCCTCCGATGTCAACAACTACAGACCAGTATCCCTTCTTTCTTTTCTCTCCAAAACTCTTGAGCGTGCCGTCTCTAGCCAACTCTCCTGCTATCTCTCTCAGAATGACCTTCTTGATCCTAACCAGTCAGGTTTCAAGACTGGTCATTCAACTGAGACTGCTCTTCTCTGTGTTACGGAGGCTCTCCGCACTGCCAAAGCTAACTCTCTCTCCTCTGCTCTTATCCTTCTAGACCTATCTGCTGCCTTTGATAATGTGAACCATCAGATCCTCCTCTCCACCCTCTCCGAGTTGGGCATCTCCGGCGCTGCTCACTCTTGGATTGCGTCCTACCTGACAGGTCGCTCCTACCAGGTGGCGTGGCGAGAATCTGTCTCCGCACCACGTGCTCTCACCACTGGTGTCCCCCAGGGCTCAGTTCTAGGCCCTCTCCTATTCTCTCTATACACCAAGTCACTTGGCTCTGTCATATCCTCACATGGTCTCTCCTATCATTGCTACGCAGACGACACACAATTAATTTTCTCCTTTCCCCCTTCTGATAACCATGTGGCGAATCGCATCGCTGCATGTCTGGCAGACATATCAGTGTGGATGTCAGATCACCACCTCAAGCTGAACCTCGGCAAGACGGAGCTGCTCTTCCTCCCGGGGAAGGACTGCCCGCTCCATGATCTCGCCATCACGGTTGACAACTCCATTGTGTCCTCCTCCCAGAGTGCAAAGAACCTTGGCGTGACCCTGGACAACACCCTGTCGTTCTCTGCTAACATCAAAGCGTGACCCAATCCTGCAGGTTCATGCTCTACAACATTCTCAGAGTACAACCCTACCTTACAAGAAAGCGGCACAGGTCCTAATCCAGGCACTTGTCATCTCCCGTCTGGATTACTGCAACTCGCTGTTGGCTGGGCTCCCTGCCTGTGCCATTAAACCACTGCAATTTATCCAGAACGCTGCAGCCCGTCTGGTGTTCAACCTTCCCAAGTTCTCTCACGTCACCCCACTCCTCCGCACACTCCACTGGCTTCCAGTTGAAGCTCGCATCTACTACAAAACCATGGTGGTTGCCTACGGAGCTGTGAGGAGAACGGCACCTCCTTACCTTCAGGCTCTGATCCTACACCCAAACGAGGGCACTACGTTCATCCACCTCTGGCCTGCTAGCCCCCCTACCTCTACGGAAGCACAGTTCCCGCTCAGCCCAATGGTGGAACAAGCTCCCCCACGACGCCAGGACAGCAGAGTCACTGACCACCTTCCGGAGACACTTGAAACCCTACCTCTTTAAGGAATACCTGGAATAGTATAATAGTAATCCTTCTACCCCCCCTTTACTACCTCTGTCTTTTGTCTAAACTAACACCTGACTTATTTCACCTGCTAGCACTGACTTGTTTAAAGAAATGTACTTATTGTGATCGAGATGTAGTTGTCCCTGATTGCACTGACTTTGCTCACAGCCTCTTGTTTGAAGAAGTGTACTTACTGTGATCAAGATGTGGTTGTCCCACTGGCTATCCTAAGTTGAATGCACCAATTTGTAAGTCACTCTGGATAAGAGCGTCTGCTAAATGACTTAAATGTAATTGGAGGTGTATCTGTGGATGTATTTCAAGGTCTACCTTCAAACTCAGTGCCTCTTTGCTTGACATCATGGGAAAATCAAAAGAAATCAGCCAAGACCTCAAATATAAAATTGTAGACATCCACAAGTCTGGTTCATCCTTGGGAACAATTTCCAAACGCCTGAAGGTACAAAAGTATCTATATCCACAGTAAAACGAGTCCTATGTCGACATAACCTGAAAGGCCGCTCAGCAAGGAAGAAGCCACTGCTCCAAAACCACCATAAAAAAGCCAGACTGCGGTTTGCAACTGCACATGGGGACAAAGATCGTACTTTTTGGAGAAATGTCCTCTGGTCTGATGAAACAAAAATAGAACTGTTTGGCCATAATGACCATCGTTAT